AATACAGGTCTGCTGCCAAAGGAACAGAAATCTCTTCTGCTGTGCAGAGAGATTTGCCATCATGTAGCTGTTTTCTTTCTTTTAGTACTTTACAGGTTGTTTTTGGGGAGCTTCACTTTTGTCAATAGTCTCGGTCATGTCCTTTACCTAGGTAGTGACTCATTCTTGCCTTCATTTTAATACCTACTGATTCTTTTAAATCTCTTGGATCAATTCTAACTGGTCCTTTCTCCCAATAGCCTGAGATTCTATTTAATCTGACTCCTGTATTTTAGGAATTTATTTATTGTTGTAAAGGCTGTCCCGTGAGCAGATGTAGGCTTGCTGTAACTGTGGCCTGGAATCTATAAGGTCAAAATAAGAGGTTTTGTAAGACATATACATTGCTTAGGAAGTGTGATGTGCTGCAAATGAGAAAAGGAGGCAGTGTGACACTGGTCGTCAGCCCGCCCAGGTGACCAAGGAGCAGTGCTGGCCTCAGGCCGTGCTGTCCGGGTATCCCATATTTTAGAGAGCACAGCTCCACATGCGTGAGCTCATGAACTCATGCAGTCATAGGGATGAGAGTCAAGTCCTGGGAATAATCCAAACCATGAGCCTGTGCTGTCCTCACTGCCCAGGCTGGACTTCATGCTCTCCCTCCCATTGGGGTGAGACATCTCCAGTCTAACTTTAGCTTTAGGGATAAGACCTCTGTTTGGCTTCGCTCTCCAGCTGCGCAAGAGAGAAAACCCCAGTGCCAGGTCTGGGAACACCCTCCCTGCCTCTTCCTTCCCAGCAAGACCACTGTGGTGTCCTCTGCAGGAGCATGCCCATGGACCACAGCCTAATTAGATCTGCTTCTCTTACAGGTGCATCTTGCCTTTTGGTGGGGTCAGTTGCTCCTTTGCCAAAACCCTGGCATTTGCTAAAAGTGCTGCTGTTAGTAGGGTCTAATTGTGGCTGGAGACCAGGGACACACATTTTGGAAGGACCATTGGGCATCTGAACCAGCCCATTTGCTGTCAGCAGCTGCCAACAGAACAATTAGAATTGCATTGCTGTTACAGGACACATTCATTGCTTTTCTTTTGGATTCTTGAGCACATTTTTCTGCCTAACCTTAACTGCTGTTGAGGCAATAATTCTTCTTCCTCAAACACTTGTCAAATTCCTGACATTAAGATTTTAAATTATAATTAAGATGAATAAAGAAATTGCATGCTGCCTTTCACAGCCTCGTTGTTTCATGCTGATTAATGTTGCTGCAGATGTCTTGTTGAAGCTGCTGAGCTGAGAGGACCTGAGGTTAGGTCTTAACCTTTGAAAGCCCTGTAGAATTTAATCAGTGGCAGGACCCTTTCCACAGGATTTTTTATACCAATCTGCATTTTTTATAGCAGGATATAACTATGTGTTTAACTGCATAGGTAGGTCTAAAAGCCTGCAAAGAGGAAGCAACTCTGTCAGGTTCCTTAATTTTAAGCACACACCATTTGGTAACACATCTGTTTGATTATGGGGCTGCTTTCTTGATGTATGATCTCCACATTAAACTACTGTGTATAAGAACCACTTGGCTGAGTGTAATGCTTAGAAGGTTCAGTGCAGATTCATTTTGACATTTCAATAATTTAGAGAAGGTTGTATATATTAATTTAAATCATGAGTCATGCTTGTGGTTGATGTGCAATTGGTCAGGTAACACAAGAAATTCATTTAATTGCATGCAAAGGCAGTATTTTTGATAATGACCATTCCTCTATTCTAGGAATAAACATTTATATCCTCCTAACTCTCCACAAAGATACTCACTGTAAGTTGTTCAGTGCTTAACCAAGTAGCAAGACTTTAAACATTTTTGTTTAAAGCCATTTTTTAAACTCTTATGCTTCTGGGTGACTTTTATCTGCAGGGATCCACTGAGGTTTGTGTTTGTAGCCCTGAATGCCTGTGACATTGCTGCTGCCAAGGACCGGGAAGCTCTTTCTCAGCCTCCTGCTGAAGCCGTGGCAGTGTGACGGGTCCTGCTGGGCTTCCACCGCCTGGGCTGCTCTGGCCACGCATGTCCAGGAGCTCGGGGTGCCAGTGGTCCCTGAGACGGCTGGGTGGTCACCTCGGGGTAGAGTGCCCGCAGCCCTCTGTGCCATTGCTGTGGCATCTCTGTTACACAGCACTTCCATTTAGGCACGCTGAGTTACAGATGTGAATTTAGAGATAGTTGCCTTCCCGGGGCTGCCATTGAGGCTGGTACAGGGGCTGGTCTGTATGCATTGCTGCAGGGCCTGGGTGCAGGTCCTGACTGCTCCCTCAGGTACTCAGGACAAACTCAGGGAGGTACTCAGGAGGGTACTCAAGGAGGTACCAACTCAGGTACTCAGGACTGTACCTGGCCCTGCAGACCATTTCCCTCCTAAATGGCTTTTTACAGCTTTTTGCCCCAGCTGCAGCCCCTCTGGTCATGTGGGTGAGGAACATTGGCTGACAAGGACCACAGGAGATTGGGGGGCCCCACAGTGCCATGGGGCCAGGCAGGGCAGCCCAAGGGCACGACCATCACCATCCCTCCTCCACACCATCCTTCCCTGCAGTGAGGAACAACAGTTGGGAAGGGGCTGCTCTGGTTGGGACAAGCATGTTCGTCCCTTCATCCCTCCCTCCCCTGGAGCTTACTACCGTTTTCAGTGCTACTTTGCCAAAAACGTAGTTTGGTTTTGAACTTGTTTTTCATTCTGCTCCAAACAAACTGCCTGCCCTCTCTGCTCCCCTGGCTGGACTCTGCTGGAGAGGTGTCAGAGATGCCTCAGCAGTGGGGAAATGGTGTAAGAGATCAAAATCTGCACATTAGTGTTTCTTGATGGCCAATTCTTACCATATCCATAAATGTTTGTGACTCCATAGTGTAGCACAAGCGGAAATTACTCTTGAATTTTTATCTACTGATGAAGAGATGAAAACAAATCATGGCTACTGAGGTTTACTGTAAAGTTGAGGAACATGAAATGTGGGGTTAATGGGGTCTTGACTTCTTAACTTTGGCTTGTTCAACCTCTGTTGAGAGTTATAAGTCCAGCACTCATGAAAAACAACTGTTTGCTAGTTATTAGACTAGCATGGAAAAAGATAGGTATGAAAAGTGCTATATCGTGTTAACCATGTCTGGGTTAAGCTACACTGGGTATTTTTTGATCTTGGAGGAAAGCTTAAGTCTTTTTTAATTGCTGACTTGTATTTACATTTTTTTACTGAGATGCTAAAATGTAATGAGGATAGTAATTAAAAAAAATACTGTAGCAGATTTAGTCAAAGTAGCTGGCTAGTGGGAACAGGTTTGGTAAAATTTAGATGAAACTAAGATTATTCTTCTTTTCATGAACTTATTACTGTCTACAAAGTGTCTCATTAAAATCCTTCCTTTTTGCAAAATAAAGTGAAATTGCTTTTATGAGTATTTCCCTATTGAATTTATGTTGCCTCAAGACTTCTGTACAACATCGCACTAGAGACATCAAAATGATATTAAAATGTCGGGGACATGCTGCTAATATTTAAGTTGTTTCATTACACCACATGTACTAAAGATCCTCACTGTTTAAGATCTTCTGGTTTAAGATAAATCACAAAGCATATTTGCATATCAACATTTGAAGATCTGGAGACTTGTGCTGTAGCCAGTTCATTACTATCTTGCCAGGAATTCAGTTTGACCAGTGCAAGGAGCTCACACAGCTTCCCACATACAATATGGAGACTGGAAAATTACTGTCAATTTTCCAGTTCTGAGAATATCAGTAAATTGTTAAATTATCTTATTAGGACAGATCTTTAAAAAATTGTAGTTATTGCTGAATACACAGACCTGGCCAATACTGGTCATCAATACAAGAAGAGATAGTGCCAACCAGACACGCTGAACCTGGTTCATCACAAATCTCTGAGCCCATGAGTAGTTTAGTGTTGATGCTGTGGTGTCTTACTGAGGCAGCCATATCCTGCAATTTCTGAAATTGCTCTATAAATTTGAAATTATTCTGGAGGTCATGATTTTTGTGAAAGATAAGCCATTTTTCATGGATTCCTGTTCTCCATAAATTAGTCTGCAGCTCAAGAGGGCACTTAATTAGCACCTCAATTGCACCTTTTTCAAGTGGGATGTTTTCATTGCAAATGTCATGGATTCAAAGAATTGTGTATTGGTTAAGTTAGAGCAAAACTCTTCAGTGACGTTGCTGAATATATGTGCAGTCTTAAAACCGAGCAGGGCCCTGCTGGAAAGCTCTGTGCTTTCCATGTCTTAGAGATGCTTCCCTTATTTGTCCTTTCAGTGTTGGCACACCGATGAACTGTGACAGGACTGTGTCAGGTTTCCAGGCACTACTTAAAATCAAGCAAGTAGTTCCCATAGAGCACTTGTGCCACGAACATCAACAGTTTCCATTTTCAGAGCCATGAGGGCATTCTATCTAGTCACTCCATTAAGACAATACTTTCCTGAAGGGGGGTTCTGTTTATGTACGTGTGTGCTTTTATATCTGGACACTTGTGAGAGTCATCCCCTCCTAGCCAAGAATATGGCCATGTTCTGCACCCCTGGTATTATCCTCGTAAAGTTCCTCAAATGAGAACCCTTGTTTTCCCCTGATGAGCTCTCAGGGAATTTGTTCTCAGTATAATTTTGATTGCCAGTAAAAAAACCAATTTGATTCTCCCTTATGCCTCAGCTGCCTGTTACATTCACTTTGGACAGATAACATAACAGTTTGTAAAGGTGTGTTAAAAAAATTAAAATGTTATTTCTTACAAAAAAATCAAACCATTGAATATTTTCTTGCTTTAGATTTGAGACACTTAACAGAGAACCCTCAGAGCTGGTTTGATGCTGCTGGCAGATTAGCACAACTCTTTTTTGTTTGGTTCTGGTTTTGCATACAGCATCAGAATCAAATCCAAACAGCTGTGTCCTGCAACCTGCAGCACACCAGGACATCCATAGACAGTCTTTGGACACTGCTATGTGGTGCTGACATCAATAGCTTTCACCCTTTATATTACTAAGGCATTGCAATATGTATCACACCAAGATGTGAGTTAGAGGTACATTTACCAAACAAATCCATATTTCCCTTGGTTCTGGCACTGTATTGAGAAATAATGCTGGGAAGGAGCTACTGCGTTCCAAGGCTTGGAAACAGAGCACAAGGTTTAGTAGTGCTTGACTGTGTCACCATTAAATATAGCTACTGTTCCATGTCTGGGTTGAATAAGACTAAATAATGTGTTCCTTCAGAGCAGGCTGCTGTGTCTGCAGCCCTGGGCAGTGATGCCAGGCTTAGATTAACGTGTGAATGTAGAAGCACCATGATACAATTCCAAGATTATTTTATATTTATGTGGCAAACACAGAAATTTGATGTTACAGTGTTGTCTGGAGGATATTTCAGATTTTACCAGGTACTTATGATCTTTTGGTAGAGCTGCCAGCTGAAGTTGGATATAAAGGAGCAGACACTAATGGGAATCTACCATCAGCCCAGGAGCTGCTGTGACCCTCTCTATTGCAGCAAGTTTAAGAAAGTGAACCCAGCATGTTGGAGCTGAAGGTGGCTACTTTGCTGTGACAGCAAATTCATTCCATATGAAGTAAAGGAGTGTTACTTTGTAGCAGGACATAGTAGCAATTGTTTGAGATATGCTTGCAAAAATACACACATGCACTTTGAAACTTCAGATCGAAAAGTCAAATGCAATATGTTGAACATTACTGTGCTTTTTATCAGACAAGGGTTTAACAACATTCCTGGCTCAAAAAATTCAAATTGATGCCATGTCAGGGAACAGACTCTAGAGACTGAAGACCATTTTAGTGGTTGCTAACGCAGTAATGATTTCCTGTCTAAAACCAAAGGGATCAATAACTCCAGTTGGAAAGAAAACCCTTCAGGGGAAAGAGAATTCATGTCAGAGGAGCTTGCTGGGCTGTTTAAGTAACAATATTTTATAGGTCCAACAAACAAGCTATTCCCAGTCCAGTAAGCAACATTCTTCAGCTACAGGTCAGGTACAGCAGAAATCAATTCAGCTCAATAATGTGTATAGCTTGTAGTTCCATCCATAACATTACAAAATTATTTAAATATAAAAATATTATCTATTATATAAATATTATATATATATATAAAAATATAAAAACTTCCCATTCCAGCCTGACTCTCCACAGGATGGCTCACAAGAGAGGATCACAGACTCACTGTCACTAAATGGAGTACTTTGGAAAACACCATTCATCCTGTGTGGTTGGATAGAATCATAAAATTGTTTAGGTTGTGTAGTGGTTTTCTGTGGCTAGGTTCTGGGGGTGGGGGGGGGGCTACAGGGGTGGCTTCTGTTAGAAGCTGCCAGAAGCTTCCCCTGTCTGGTGGAGCCAATGCCAGCGGGCTCCAGGAGGGGCTTCCTGCCGCTGGCCAAGGCCGAGCCAGTCAGGAGTAATGGTAACACCTCTGGGATAACATATTTGAAGTCCAGAAAGCCATTGCAGAGAAAGAACTCCAGGGAAGAGCAGAGTGAGAACATGGGAATAACAACATAGACCTCAAGGGCAGTGGAGGAGGAGGGGCAGGAGGTGCTCCAAGCGCCAGAGCTGAGGCCCTGCAGCCCGTGGGGCAGAGCAGAGTGGGGCATCTGTGCCCCTGCAGCCCCTGGGGGAGCATTGGGGTGCAGAGACCCCCCTGCAGCCCATGGAGGAGCCCATGCAGGAGCAGGTGGATGCAGGAAGGAGGCTGTGACCCCATGGGAGGCCCAGGATGGAGCAGGGTCCTGGCAGGGACCTGCAGCCCGTGGAGAGGGAAGCCCAGGCTGGAGCTGGTTTTTCCTGGGTAGGACTCCCTGCAGGGGACTCACATTGGTGCAGCTCATCTGTGAGGGACTGACCCCATGGAGGAGTGACCCACGGGACAGCAGGTTGGGAAGAGCTGCTGCCTGAGGGATGGACTCATGCTGGAGAGGTCCATCAAGGACTGTCTCCCGTGGGAGGGACCCCACGGGTGCAGGGGAAGACTCCAACTCCTGTCCTTGAGCAGTGGCAGAAACAACAACTGACCATAACCCCCGTTCCTGTCCCCCTGCACTGCTGGAGGGGAGGAGGGAAAATGTGGAAGGAAGGAGGGGTGGGGGGAAGGTGTTTCTAAGACTGTTTCATTTCTCACTCTTTTGCTCTGACCCTGTTAATAATAAGCTTAAGTATTAACCCCACTTTGAGTCTGTTTTGCCTGTGAAGGTAATCAGTAAGTGACCTCTCCCAGCACTTATCTCTACTCATGAATCCTTAGCTGTTTTTTTTTCTCTCCTCTGTCTAGTTGCAGAGAGGAAGTGAGAGAGTGGCTTTAGTGGGTACCTGGCATCTGGCCAGGGTCAAACCACTACAAGTTAGAGAAGGACTTTAAGATCATTGAGTCAAACCATTAACCCAGCCCTGACAAGGCCACCAGTAAACCACATCCCTAAGTGCCACATTGACACCTCTTTTAAATCCCTTCAGGAATGGTGATTCCACCCCTCCCCTGGGCAATCCATTCCAATGCTTGACCACCCTTTTAGTGAAGAAGTTTTTCCCAATATCCAATCTAAACCTTCCCTGGTGCAACTTAAGGCCATTTCCTCTTGTCCTTTCACTCCTTACCTGGGACAGGAGAATGACTGAGTCCAGGTAGTCACAAATTAGTATCACCCCTGCCTGATGAGAGCCAGATGATCTGAAATGGCCAGACAAGTCTAGCAGGTCACCAAATAGTTAGAGCAATGGTGCTGTAGTCAGGGTTTTGGTTACCCAGGCCACGGGACTCACTTTGCTGAGCCTGGTCTACTGGTGGCTGATGGGGTCCATCTGACAAAGAAGGGAAAAAGTATCTTTGTTCTGGGACTTCCCAAACTAGCAGAGGAGGATTTAAACTAGATTTGTCAAGGGAGGGCACCTATCCATCCCAATCCTGCCAGCTGGATGCCAACACCTGTAATGGATGCCCAGAATAGTGCAAAGGCATGCCACATACTCCAACCAGTGAGTCAGCTTTATCTGGGGCCCAGCTCAGATGCCAAACACACACACACAGAAGATGGGGAACAAACAAGAGAAACCAGAGATGTGCACACACCTACATGGATATGATGTTGTTGGCATCACAGAGACATGGTGGGATGGCTCCTCTGCCTGGAGCATTGGAATGCAAGGTTTAGGCTTTTTAGGAAAGACAGGTGAGGGAGAGGAGGAGCGGGTGTAGCCCCCTGTGTCAGTGGTGGGCTGGAGTGTCTGTAACTCTTCCTGGGAAAGGATGAGGACCCAGAACAGAGCTTGTATGTGAAGATCAATGGTAGGGCAGGGACAGATGGTGTTGTAGTGGAGATCTACTACGGGGCCCCCCAACAGCAAGATGATGTGGGTGAAGCCCTCTAGGGGCAGATTGGAGTGGTCTTACACTCACCAGCCTTGGACCCTCAGGGGGGATTTTAACCACCCCGATATCTGTCAGAGGGACAACACAGCAGGGCACGAGCAATCCTGGAGGTTCCTCAAATGTGTCAATGACAACTTCCTTACACAAGTGATTGAGAAGCCAACAAGGAGAAGTGCCATGCTGGACCTTGTGCTCACCAATAGGGAGGAGCTGGTGGGGAATGTAGTGCTCCAAGGCAGCCTTGGCTGCAGTGACCGTGAGATAGTGGAGTTTGAGATCCTCAGGGCAGGGAGGCTCACTGCCTTGGACTTCAGGAGAGCAATCTTTGGCCTCTTCAAGGACCTACTCGGTGGAATCCCACGTGATAGAGCCCTGGGAGGCAGAATGATGGCTGAATTCAAGGATCACCTCCTTGATGTGTTCCAACAAGGAGGAAATTGGGCAAAAATGTCAGAAGGCCTCCATGGATGGATAATGCTGAGCAAACTCAGAGTGAAAAAAGAAGCTTTCAGGAAGCAGAAAGGACGACAGGTAGCCTGGGAAGAATACAGGGAAATTGTACAGGAAGCTAGGGACAACGTTAGGGTAGGCAAGGCCCAATTAGAATTGTGTCTGACCAGGGATATTAAGGATAACAGGAAGGGCTTCTATAGATATGTTGCAAGCAAAAAAAAGACTAGGGATAATGTGGGCCTTCTCTGGAAGGAAACAGGAGACCTGGATACCCTGGACAAAGAGAAGGCTAAGGTTCTCAATGACTTCTATGCCTCAGTCTTCAAGGGCAAGTGCTCCAGCCACACTGCCCAAGTCAAGAAAGGCAAATGCAGGGACTTGGAGAATGAAGATCCTGAGCCCTCTGTAAGAGACGATCAGGTATGAGAGCATCTAAGGAACCTGAGTTTACAACATGCCATGGGACTCAGTGAAATTCATCCACATGTCCTGAGAAAGTTGTTAAGCCACTGTCCATCATTCTTGAAAAATTGTGGCAGTCAGGGTGAAGTCCCCAGTGACTGAAAAAGGGAAATATAACCCTCATTTTTAAAAAAGGGAAAGAAGAAGACCTGGGGAACTACAGACCAGTCAGTCTCATCTCTGTGCCAAGCAAGATCATGGAGTAGATTCTCCTGGAAAATATGGTCAGGCACATGGAAAACAAAGAGGTGATTAGTAACAACCAGCATGGCTTTACCAAGTGAAAATCATGCCTGACAAATTTGGTGACCTTCTGTGACAGAGCTACAGCACTGGTCAATGGGGGTAGTATCTACCTGGACTTATGCAAAGCATTTGACACTGTCCCAAATGACATCCTTGTCTCTAAATTGGAGACACATGGATTTGATGGGTGGATCACTCAGTGGATAAAGAACTGGCTGGACGGCTGCAGGCAAAGAATTGTGGTCAGTGGCTCACTGTCCACCTGGAGACCAGTGACAAGTGGTGTCCCTCAGGTGTCAGTACTGGGGCTGATGCTGTTCAACATCTCTGTTGGCGACATGGACAGTGGGATCAAGTGCACCTTTGGTAAGTTTGCTGATGACACCAAGTTGTGTGGTGCAGTCACACGCTGGAGGGGAGGGATG